TTCCAAAAAAACTTGTATTAAGTGAATGTCTTCTAATTCTTGTCTCTTAGCATAGACCCCAATATAAAATTTAATATGGAACTTGGTTTCCTTCAGTTAAAAAATAGCAAACAAACAAAAAAAAGACACTCTTTCCTTTCTTTAAATATGAATACTTTGTATCTGTGACCTTTCCACCTCTACCGTCAGGGAAGCTGTGTTTTCTATCCACTTATCGCAAATGATAAATTATAAGCTGCTTATGTGAAAGTGACATTGATCAATGAAGACATTAAATGGGCTTTAATGGTGTAGGAAGAGCACTTGGTTGTTTGCGTTTGTTTAGAATGCGGCAAGGTCAGAAATGTGGGCTGGAAACTTGGGTTCTCATTAAAGTATATTTTAATGAGGAGCTTTTCTACTGGAAGAGCATATAGATATATGCCCGCTGGTTTAGTCTCTTCCTACTTGCAAACAAGGAACACACGGGGACGATTATGCTTCACAAATGCACACACACTGCTGCGTTCGACTCAATGGAAATAAAAGCCCTCAGTTAAATGCGTCTATTAGTCTAAATGAGTGTAAATTAAAAGTTATCGAACAGTGCGATAATGAGACAATATTACTGCGTGTATAATGTTTACCTCCACATATAACAAAAAGGTTTGGTAATTAGTTTTTGTTTGAATTATTGTTTTGACATAGAGGGTTTTTTTTTTCCTTTCCTGTGCCGCAGTACTTATTTAAATTATCTGGTTTTGTGCCCAGTGAATAATGTCTAGGTAGTAAAAAATCCGACTTAAAGAGGACGACAGGAGGAGAAGAGAGTGTGAATGTGTGTGTGTTTGAAAAAGAAAGGTGGCTTTTTCGTTCTAACTGTATGTTGTCCTCAACTGTAACATGTCATACATTGAATTCATTGAATACACTGAAGTGCATATAAACTGTTGTTGTTAAGTCATTGTAGAAGAACATGTTTGTTTTATGTTGTTGTTGCTCTATACAGAATCTCTCCCAGTGGCGGTGATCATCGGCATTGCCGTGGGAGCTTTCGTGGCCGTCATTGTCCTCATGGGCACCATCGGAGCGTTCTGCTGCACCCGCTCCCAGAGAAGTACGTCTCCTTTCCAGTGTTGCCTCTGAAGCATGCATGCTAAAGCACTGCAATTTTTTTCCACAAGCACATAAAAAAATGTCCATCTATGTAGTTTTAGTTTTAATGTTTTACAAATTGGATCGTTCGCAAATTGTGACTTGAGGTGTCTTAAAAATGGGCCATCTACATAAAAATAAAACACACGGAGGCATCACCAGCCAGAAATTACCGATGCTATTAAGTTATTTTCAGGAACGTAGTGTCACATTTAATAGGAGATGAAATCAGTGGTTGTGATGGACATCTTTTTTTTTTTTTGATGCCGAGATAGACAGATTGTGATAAGGGCTCATTTCATGCACTCTCAGTCTGGCTGCATTCATTTAAAGCTATTTACATCATGCGCCGTGTTCATTGCCACCCACCCATATACAGTACCAAGTGACTCAGGTTAGAGGCACTCAGCCACTATCTCTATCCAAGAACCACACTGTGCTACTGGTCCCTTCAGCATGTCTATTGTCTGTACACTACAGAGGAAGCGCACCTGGTTATGCCCTCACTGCCCGTCTCCATCTGTGCTCACCAGAGAGAACTTGCAAGCAAAATTAAGACAGAAAGTAAGACTTTGTTATATGACAGTATAACACCAGCTTTGTCCCAAACAGAATGAGCCACCGAGGAAGGCTATGTGAGATTGCATATATATGCAGAAAAAAAAACAAACAAACATAATCCTGTGTTGGCAGGAAACAAGTGATTAATAACGCTTTGTGTTGTCTTCGGGAAGTGGGAGAGCTCTAACAAAACAAACCCAGGGATCTCTGTTAAATTCTGTAACACTGCAAACTGCACTGGGGGGAAATTATAATGTCAACAAATACAGAATAGTGTTTATCCGTCTTATTAAGATATATGTGGCGTCTGCTTATGCTAGATCTGAAAGGAGTCGTGTCGGCAAAAAATGACATCCGGGTGGAGATTGTGCACAAGGACCACAATGCAGCCCGAGAAAATGAAGAGCACACCTCCATGAAACAACTGATGGTGAGTGTGAGTGTCACAAAATACTACTTTCCACTTTACTTCTTCTCATGTTCTTTTGCGAATATTGAATCTCGGCCCTGTTTTTGCATGTTCTCTTTGGCGGACAGGTAATGAATGCGGTCTGCAATTAGTATGGGGATTTTCTGTGGAATACTTCACTTCATGAGTAATGGAAGAACAGAAAGGCATGCGGGTTGTATGTGTGCTGTCAAGGCGTAGGGTGTATATATATCATCATGATAACAACGACGCTGTGAGGAGAACAGACCCCGATACATTTTAACTATGGGGATGCTGATGTGTACTGGGTAATCCTACAGTGGGTGTACTCTCTGCATCCACATGCCTGCTAGACACAAAAAGAACAGCTTCCTCTTTTGAGCTCTACCAGTGTTTTGGATTTAATGCAGTTTGCTCCAGGGCTGGTCTATTTGTAGTTAAAGCTCTTGGATTAAATTTTTCCTTCAAAATAATGATTTCTTTTCAAATTACAAAATACGGTCGACACTTGATGTTAGAGCGAGAAAATGAGCATATCTACTTCACAAATCTGCATTTTGTAAAGATAAATAAAAGATATTCATGGATAAATTATTAATGGTGCCTGCAAGCCCAGAGTTAAGGTGAAGCATGTCTGAGTGATTTTTTTTTTAAAGAACAAGTGATAAAAGTTGAACCCATCCATCTCAAAATGTATCTTTTTGTGGGAGAGCTTGGGAAGCTACACAGATTCTTAGATGCTTTGCTTGATTTCTACGTAGGTTGAACGAGAAGAGTTCCAGCAGGAATCTGTTCTGAAGCAGCTGGAGGTGTTGCAAGAGGAAGAGAAGGAGTATCAGCACATAAAGGTACGGCTTGTGAATGATGACAGCGTGAAGGCGCGAACGTAGGAGAACAAAAGTGGAAAGACGAAAAAAAAAAAGAAGTGGTGAGAGGAAGAGAGAGAATGCCTTTGGGGCAGATGGTGGTCTTCAACTCTGGAACTAAAATAGCTGAAAAGCATTAATCCCTCTTCTGCTACACATGAGTTTTCCAAAGTAAGTCCAGAGGCAAATTATTCCTGTTATGGGTTTGATTTTAATAATTAGCTTCTCAGCCAAAGTGGCTCATGAAATCAGAGAGCGTTTGGACTTAGAGACACTAGTGGATGGGGGTCGTGTTGTTTCAAAGAAATCTATCAGAAAATCACAAAAACACACAGGTGGTGACACCATGAGCAGGTGAGGCAAAGAACAGGAGACAAATGCTCTAGTTAGAAAATGTGAGCCTCTTAACCTCGGGGAGATGTTTCTTCTTCATTTTATTTTCATAATTATTTGGAGCTCTACAGCAGACTTGTTGGCAAATATGTCATTGCAATCGCGTCTAATGAAATGTTTGTTATTCAATATGTCAGTGGACGTAATAAAGTTTTGGAATGATGCACCTTTTGACCAGGTGTCCTTTGAAGAAGAGGTTTTAATCTTAAGGGATTTTCTGGTTAAAATGCACTTAAAACAATTCCACCTTCCCATTTACATGGCAGTAAAACAGATGTGAGGCACTTTACCTAGGGTCACTTTAGTTCTCCTATCGCATGTAAAGAGACTTAACCGCTTGTAATAAATGATTCATGCTGAGTTTTGCAGATCTCAAAACCCTTTTAAGTACCATCAAGTGAAGGATGGCCACCATCTGTTCTACATGTTTCAGTTTTTCTAGTCTTGGTCAATATTAATACTGCAGTTTAAAACCTTTGGATTTTCACTTGGTCACCAATTCAATATAAACTATCACAGGTTATGTACGGTAAACACACACTGTATGAATATTTAAATTTTATTTATACAGCGCCAAATCACAACAACAGTCGCCTCAAGGTGCTTTATATTGTAAGGTAGACACTACTATAAAACATATGGGGAAAAACCCAACAATCATATGACCTCTTATGAGAAGCACTTTGGGAAGGAAAAACTCCCTGCCATCTGCTGTGATCAGCTGGGGAGAGAGAAGGAATACAGGATAGAATATAGGTGTAGTCTTCTAGTTGTTGCTATTAGGTGTATCCCTCCACTTAAGCAAAATTTTCAAGAAGAAATTTTCTGCTTCACAGAAGGATTTCTTAGGTCTCTTCTGTTCAAAGCAACTGCATGACCCGAGATCTGCTACCAATAAGTCAACTTTTTCTTTATCACAAAGAAGCAACACAGGCCAAGTCAGTGGGACCTGCATCTTATAGCGCTATGCCAATATTGACAGAGCATCTCCTAGAGTCTCTCGCTAAATAATAAGATAAGAACATAGCTGGTTGTGGCCAATGGCCCACTGCTGACAGCAATGTCTACACACAGCAAAAGGACATCAGATTGCAGCTGTGTGTGAAGTGCGTTAAAGCGTTCAGGTGTTCTTCATTTACCATGGATCTCTGTGTGGAAAACACTCCTTTAAAAAACAATGATGGGATTAGAGGAACACCTCATGGCACGTGCATGAAAAGGCTAGATCTGACAACACGTCATCAACTGTCTAGCATGCTTAAAAGGGATTGAGTCTGTCAGGACTCAGATACAGTGTGCATATAGAAACGCATGAAGGGGCATAGAAAGATGCACATGGTCTTGTGCAGATGTGCGACACTTCCGTCCCTCGGAGAAAGACTGTGGATGAGGATAAAGTTCTTGCAGCGTGCACACGGAAGCCATATGTGTGCCAGAAGGTCTGCTTCTGCTGCTGCATGTATGTAGGCTTGCGTGACAGCATCATACAGACTGTGAGAAAACCAGCGCTAAACAGTAAGTGTCCTCTGTGGTGGACAAGCAGCTGTTGTGTCTGTCTACTAGCTGTGGGCAAAACATAATGACACCGAGTGTGCACCAGGCAGAGCCGTTGAAACACCTCTTCTACATTACTGTAGAGAAAAAAGGCCTGTAGTAAGATAGCCTCTGACCTAAAAGAGTAGTTCATGCTCTTAGGTGTAAAGGAGGGATTTGGCTGTAAAGTAGCCCTGCCCTAGACATCCCTATTAGAGAACAACGATAGTGAGACTGATAACCTGCGTGAGGTCACTAATTCTCTCAGTGAAAGTAAGGATAAAGCAGAGGAAGACCGCATTTCCAGACAGATTTCACCTGGCTTGAACTGGGGTTTTCCAGCAGGTGAGGCACTGGGGTAAATGCCAACTAGTTGACAAGAGAACACAATCTCTGATCCTTTCAGATAGCACTTAAACAAGCGATCTCTTGCTGAATCCTGTGTGACAAGATGTGATGGCAGTAGCATAAAATAGATCGGGCTAGCACCTTATCTGAAAAACATCTGCAGATAGGTCAGTAAAACAGACAGCGACAATGTGCTGTCTGATCCTCTCTTTATGCACCAGCACTGAAATAGTACCATTTAACTTCTTTCCCTTTCCACTGTCTCAGCAGCCTTGTGCATATGAGCAGCGGCGCTCCGGTTGAATGATCCTAATAGTCCATTGGGGATACGGGACCACCTTACAGCTCTGGACTGATTCAAGAGTGAGGCTTCATTATATTGCCCTGTAAAACAGGATGGAAGCTAGGCTATGCCATAACAGCGGTGGCTGTTGGTCATCAATGTACCTGTCATCAGCATCTAAGATCTGACACATTTTTAATGATGGCCAGCAGGTCCTGAAAGAGTCTTTTAGCAGTGGACATATTGCTAGCAGGGAGTGAGATGGCCACTGCTGTGGGGCACAGTGGGCACAGACCTGCCAGATGGCCTGTGGAGTGAGCACCACTCCAGCCTGTTTAGGCAAGCCTCACAGCAGGGATGAAGGTCTGATGGGAGAATGTAGGCGGTTTTGCAGCCAGTGTGCAAGTAGATGCCTCTATACTACTTTTTTTTTCTCTTTAGTAGAGCTGACTACTTGATTAGCAAAAAAAAGAAAAAACCATGGGAGCACATCACAGGTCAAGCAGGTGCAGAGGGCATGAGCATAAGCAATAAAATATTCTTCAAGACTGAGCATTCATGAAGGGATAATGCCAGTAGTGACAGATTTTAGAGGGCATCGCCTGTTTGAAATGCAGTAATTATATTTTGTGTTATTCCATACAGATTGATACAGATTAATTATAAAAAGCTAAATGATGTTTCTTCACCCACCCAATAATGTATAATGTTATACCCTATCAGTACTCTGATAGGTTAAAGCATTCAGGGGCCCAAAGTATGCCAAGAAAATATCAGCCCACACCATTAAATCAAGAAAAACCAGCCTAAACACTTGATACAGATTGGGTTGGATCCATTCTTTATGCCAAATTCTAACCCTACCATCTAATCGAGACACATTAAACCAGCCAATGTTCTTTCCAATTGTCAATAGTCCGTAGGAATTGTAGCCTCAGTCTCTTGTTCTTAGCTGACAGGAGTGACAATCGGTGTGCTCTTCTGCTGCTGTAGCCTGTCTGCTCTAGAGATGCTCCTCTGCAGATCTTATTTCTAGTGAGTGTTACTGTGGCCTTCCTAACAACTCGAAGCAATGCGGCCGTTCTCCTCCGACCTCTGACATCAACAAAGCATTTTTTCCAAGAGTACTGCTACTCACTGGCTATTTTCTTTTTTGGGGGTGATTCTTTGTAAAACTCATGCAAGTGGCATTAGATCAGCGGTTGCTGAAGTATTCAGACCAGCCTGTCTGTCACATTCATAATCATTTAAATCATCTTTCTTCGCCGTTCTGATACTCGGTTTGAACTTAAGCAGGTCATCTTGTGAAGATCTTGTCTCTTCACGCTCAACTTGCTGGAGACAACAAGCCTCGCACAAACTTTTTTGTTTTGTCCAAATGACTGCTCGTTCTCGAGTGCACGTCTGTTGTTTTAGCCTTCTTACCTGCTCTCTCTGTCATGCTTAATTTTTTTTTTTTTTTTTTTTTTTTGATCCCGGCTAATGACACCTTGCATGAGGCAAGAGCAAAAGGGGACTGAACAAGTGATAAAGGGCAGGCGCAAACAATCTCCCTGTCTGCTTTCTGGTAATGACAAGCATAACGAGCATCCTCTCAGGCCTCTCTCATTTCCCCATTATGAGCATTCTTCTTTTGGGATTTGCCACCATGCTCACTATGCTTGACATTTACATCCGTTCACACAAGGACATGAAAAAAAGAGAAGAAGAAAAAAAACCTGACATATACCCTAACTGGACCCTTAGCAACAGCACAGTGCCTGCAGCCAAGCAGACAAACAAGTGGCACAGCTCTGGTCTCAGAAGCCATTTAGGGGCATACATGAAATTATAAACACTACAATCCATTTAGGTCCAATTAAAGCCAGTATGAGAGTGAACTTTGCTATGACACATTGGATGCCAAACTATGAATCATCAAGGCCTGCCTAATTAGCAAGAGACATGATTTTAAGGTCTGTGTGGGGGCTAACTAAATCCTACCCCTAAGGCTCACCAGTGTTGTTTTTTCTTGTCTTTCTTTAAAGTTTGTTTTTTTTTCCTACACAGACCGCAGACTCTTTCCTTATTTATTTCAGCAGTTTGAATGTTAATTATTGTCAGTTTGACCTTGACTTCTGTTGAGCTTTGAGGATACATTCACATATAAACAAATAAGATGTTTGTTTTTCTTCCCTTTCTTCTTTTTCTTTTGTGTGCATATGTGATATATAGATGTATAGCTCTAAAGAATCTTTCCTTCATGTGTTTTCAATAGGACCCTACAAATGGCTACTATAGTGTAAATACCTTCAAGGAGCATCACACACCTACCATGACAGGGAACCCTACCACTGAGGTGAGGAACCCCACCAACACAGGTACCCTGGGAAAGCAGCGGGTACCGACGGGCATGTCCTTCACCAACATCTATTCCACTCTTGGAGCTGGTCCCAACCGACTGTATGACTACAGCCAACGCTTCGTGCTGGGCATGGGCAGCAGCTCCATTGAGCTTTGCGAGCGGGAGTTCCAGCGTGGCTCGCTCAGCGACTCCAGCTCTTTTATCGACACGCAGTGTGACAGCAGCGTCAGCAGCTACAGTAAGCCAGACGGCTACGTGCAGTTCGACAAAGACAGCAAGGCCTCCGCCTCCTCCTCATCCCACTATTCCCAATCCTCCTCGCAGAACTCAGACCTCACCCGACCCCTCCAGAAGCGCATGCAGACCCATGTCTGACCTCTTGGGAGGGAAGGGCTTTTGGAACGGGGTGAAACAAACCAGCTAGGATTGTAAAACTGAAAGAACCAGCTCCGAGGAGCGCCTAAAAAGAACAATGTCAGTAGGTGTTTCCTGTGGATGCCTGAAGACACTGGGGCTTTAATGCACCATGTGACTTGTTTAGACTTCCCAGTGTCCCAAAAAAAAAAAAAAAAAAAAAGGATCAAGAAGCCTTATATTTCGCTCATGCTCAACTCATCAACTCCCTGCTTTGTGCCACAGAGAGGTTATTTGCCAACACAAACACTGCACGAGTACAGCGTTTAAACTTTTGGGTTTTGCAGTGACACTGTTGACCGATCAGAGGGCAGGAAAACAAGGCTTCTGTGACAATCAGCACCCTTGGGATGGACCACTTTCGCTTTTTTGAAGAAGAAAAACTGGAAGTGTTGTCATGAGTGTTTGGGCACTCAGCACAAACTGTCTGCTAATGAGTGCAAGCCAGTGTCCTGCTGCTCTCTTGTAGTTTGAAGCACAAAATTCAATGTGCATGTGGTTTTAAGTTGTTAAAACAACACCTTTTTTTCTCTCCTCCACTCCCACTTTCCCTTTAAACACTGTACGTTAAGCTCGGCTTGTTCAAACTCGTCTCCTGTGTAGGTGTAAGAAAACTTCCTCCATATGCCCACAGACGTTTCAAGCGCTGAACACAGCGGTTGTTTTTCCTCTCCGCAGCTGTATCTGGGCCACAGAGCTGAGCAGATAAAGAAAGGCCGAGATCTCATTTTAAATCCCTGAGTCATTATTTTACTTTGAGACTCTGCGATAAAAGAATATCAGTGTACATACGCGACTGTAATTTCTTTTCTAGCGTCTAATTTCTGACTCTGATTTCCCTCATGGATGACTATAAATGAGACATGAGCGCCTCTTCTTGTCCACATCTACTTGCCTTGAGGGTCTGTTTGAACTGCTTGAACTGGGTCAATACAAACTTTGACGAAGCCAGATTGATGTACCCCATCAGTTCTTCAGGTGGGGGAGCTGCATCCACCGTGGTGTTACTGCGCCAAAATCCAGCTCCGAAACTGCAGCGGGAAAGCCAAAATGAGTCGTACTTGTGAATTTCTCCTTGTAACACCACAGACCATCAACCATATACTTGAGGTTCCCTGCTAAAGGAAATGTAAACATGATATTTTAGCTTCTTATTGTGTGGTTAACCCATTGCTTTTGTCGATATCACTGTTGACGCTGGAGCTTAGTGCATATCCTGACTGTATACCTATGTGTGATTGTGCTGCTCATCAAGGGACATAACAAGCAAATTTAGAGAAAAAAATGCTTTTATTTTGATGTCTGCTATTCATTCAGAGCTGCTGTGGGGGCTGATGGTGGCTTGTTGGGTGCATTCTTAGTTTTTGTTATCCACACTTGTGTGACATGTATGGATCGGCTTTATTTTTCAATCACTGGCACTGTAATTGTTTTAGTTGAGAGTATAGTCAGAGTAGTGATTCAACTTGCACCAGAAACACTCGTACTTTGTGTAAAATGCTTAAGGTGAGCCTGTCATAGTTCACATGGTGTCATAGTCCAACACTGCACATGCTTTGATCAAAAAGGGTTTGCAAGGAACACTGCAGATGCCGTGTAGCTAAAGAGCCAACATATTTTAGTCTTAATGCTACAACACATGGATGCTATCATATATTGCTGTTGACCTTAAGCTGTGTTAACAGGCTTTGATAAGAGCATCCCTTTACAGTAAACACAGATCCTTTTTTTTTTTTTGCAATAGCTGCAATTACATATTGCACCCACATCACATTTAATTATAGCATTCAGTAGCCTCATATGTCTGTGCACTTTCAAGGTCTTACTTTCAAGCCATACTGTTTGTTATTTTATCAGATCTGTAAAATATAGCGGACTTCCTGAAAAATTACTGTAAAAAAGAAAAAAAAAAGACTTAAAAATGGTGGCTCACAATGTCATTGTCATCTTTGTTTTGTCAAATCAAACAGAAACATCACACAAAACTATAAATGGTTATTTTTAAAAAACCTAATAAGGTAGTTGTTCCATATGTAGTGCAATTGGAATGAACCTGTGTGAGCCTGAAACTACAAAATCTGCCTCTCAACCCATGAAAAAACAAGCACCGTGTTTCCGACAAAAGCAAGTTGTTGTTGTAAGCACTTTACATATGATTATATTCAAGGCATTTGAATGGGGTTTTCCACTTGAGTGGCAGCGGTTTGGACTCTAATTTTACAAATGGATTGGTGCCCATTGTACAGCTTAAGACAAAAAGCTCTGTTTCAACGCTGATAATCCAGCTTGGCACTTAGCAGACTGTATATAAATCTCTAATGCTGTCTTTCTCTGTATATAATTTTTTTCTGGGCTTTCTTTCTCATTCAGATTCCACTATTCCAGAGCTCAACAAACACCACATGGCATCAGAACTGTAAAGACAGACGATGTTTCCTTTCTTTGTTTCCTGTCCAAAACAAAACAAAAAATCATCAACCTCGCCGTTTCACACAAACTACATGAAAGGCTCGTGCGAGCAGTTTTGTCCTCCCCCAGATCTCACAGGGAAAACTTACTCACACCGAGCACACACGAGGCTATAGGATGAGAAGCTAAGCATAGCCGGGACAGCTTTGAAGTGAAATACAGTAAGAGGCGATTATTCTTGCAGCCCCTCTGAGAGATGCCCAGATGTCCAGTAATATATTGCATTTTGCACCACCATGACTGTCAAGTACGGGTGTCGCAGTTTTTCATTTATTTTTCTCCACATTTATGAGGGTAGAATTAAATTATTTCACTGATATCATCAACATTCAATTACAGTGCAATCTACTTTGGGGGATTAAAAAAAATACAGAATAAAGTATCCGTATGTTATGCATTACTTTACATTCACATGATCGGAATTCTAAAAATGTGCCCGTTTGAAACTTGCCATACAGACTTTTAGCAACTCTCTTCATGAAAACAAAACAAATTTGCTGTCCTTCTAAAAATGGATCGTTTCCTCTATCTGATGCAGCTTTTGCACTGATCCAAACATAATGCATTTTCCCAGTCCAGAGAATCTGCACACTGCACAGCAAACAGATAAATATTTGATAGGCCAGCCTTCTGTCCCACCTCCCCCCACCCTCCAGAATGGCAACAGCTACAGTGGGCATGAGAGTACTAGAGGATGTGAGTGCCATGTCAGTCTTTGGGAATCAAAGCCCATGTGGGGACGGAGTCTGCCCTGCTCACCTGTGGACGCCTCGCCGGCTGGTGCTGGCGGCGCCTGTTTGCCTGGCTACAAGCACTGCACAGATGCCAGGGCATAACAGATGAATAAACACAAAGACCCGGAACAATTACAAGGGGTTGCTGCCCTTTCCTGATAAAACAGAGCAACCGCTTTCAGAGCAGAGCATGGAGCGTAGACTGTTTTTCAGAGATGCTAAAGACTAGCCTGTAAAACACTGGATAAGAATGTTTCTAAGGTGAGAGACAGAGCTCAGGAGCAGTGTGAAGGAAAGACACTGGCTGGAATTTATAATGGCTTTTTCTGTTCATTGCCAATGTTATGTTTGTTTATTGCAAAAAGTATGTTGCTTGGTTTGAAATAACTTGGAAAAAATAGATAAAGAAATACTCAGCATTAGTACTTTCAAGGTTCTGTCACGCTTGCAAAGGGACTTTTAAACTGGGTTATTTGAAGTCTACATCAGTGTATGATAGGTGTCACTGTGCATGACGGAGCACATTAGCGAAGGTGCCATTTGAACCTCTGAACTGATCATAATAAGCCTTTTTTTCAACCGTGTAAATGCTTTCTGTCACTGAGTTTCTCTCTTTTTCTCTCACTTTCTTTTTTCTTCCCTACCAAATCAATACCTTGTTAGTAATTTAATAAAGTCCAAGTGTAAGACCTGTACAAAATAGCATCTGGAAACGACTCTCAGAGTTTCCTTTGTCTCCCAGGGTGCATTGGTAATCAGTGCAGGTTGGTTTGCAGCAGACAGTTTGCAGCAAGTCACATAAGCAAATGGGAAGTATAATAGGAATGCCTTTGGAAGTCAAATGAGTACCCTTCAACGTCATTGGTTGATTCGCTTTGTACTCCAAATAACGCAAACTACTTGCAAATGCTACACGAGGCTCAGAAGGTACTTTAAATGGTCATTGCAAGAATTTGTATAAATAGTGAACCATAACCATACAGTAATTGTAATAAAAAGGCAACGTGTAAATGCTCTTTTGGGTGAACCACTATTTTCAGGAGGTGGCCCTCTGTATCTAAGAAAAAAATGAAAAAGATGTATTTTAACTGTACCGGTCTGTGAATCTATGATGCTTTTGCTCTGTATATTTGGAGAATAAAACTGATGTTTGAGTTGGTGTTTATGTTTACACTGGTCTGTCAGTGAGAATGAGATTCGTGAGTTACTGCTTTGTCTGCACAGAAATCTTCACCCTTAGTTTTGTTCTCACAGATTTCAAAAGTTCTTTCATTCCTATTAATGCTAGACAGTGAGCAGCTTTTATGAAAACTCTTGTGCTACGGTGCCCACTGGGAAATATTAATCATTAATGGCCCGACGTCAGGCCTTCCGATGTAGACGAGAAGAGTGCAGGAAATGTGCAGTCACTTCACAAACATGCACACAGTATATACATTTTGACTAATGTAAGATCCAGTTGCTGTATGCAGGCAAACTCAAGTATAATGAACACTCTTGTGATGTTTTAGTAGTTTGTCAATGAGGTCCAGATTCAAGCAGAATACATGCAGCTTCAGGCTGGGCAGCAATTTGTGTTTTGCTTATATCACAAAATGAGAAACGAGAAAAGGGTTGTAGAAATAACACCAATGCAATCCTGTTTAAAGCAACGTTTTGCAGGTGTGGCAGCACAAGAACAGAGACAATCACATTCGTGTCCCTAATCGACCTGCACAGTGGCTCTTGTTGGACAGTCAGCCAGCAATAAGCTATCGAGAGTGTTTTGTGGCTGGCTTAAGTGTACTTTGACGGCATTTGTTAAAAGCAGGCACGCTGCTGTTTATTCGCTTTGTCCTCTGTTTTCCTAGGCAGTCAGCAGATTCACACCATTACATTTACATGCAGCCCTTTAATCCATTAATAGGACCATAGCAGTCTTACTCCAAATTAAATGAACTCACATAAACACCTTAACTTG